GGTACTTGTGGTTGTGCTCGTTTTCAGATCGGGTCATGTGTTTCATTCTTTTTCAAAGTAGTTCATGTGTTTTAATTCTGTTATCACAAGAGGGTCACACCGTTAAAAACGTCTGAACAGACCGTTAAAAGTAACTACGCTTTTCAAAAGTGCTCGAAAAAATAAAAGAAAAATACCGAAAGGCGCGCCTCGTCAAGATGACCTCCAAACCACCACCGCCTTTGGATTTTTCAGATCTGTTTGAATTATTTTTAAAAAATGATTTCGCTAATATCACTTTTTTGATGAACTTTCTGGTGACAAGGGTGGCTGAAAACAAAAAAGAAAGATGGCCTAGCGGTCGTCTTATTGAGGCGCACCTTCCAGTATTTTTCTTTTAATTTTTCGAGCACTTTTGAAAATGATTTTGATAAAGAATGAAACACATGACCCTATCTGAAAACAGGTTCAACCACAAGTACATTTTCCACACTTTTCCCTATATACATTAAGGAATCTTATAATGAACTTTACAATAATGGAATTTTTATGAAAAAATATTAATATAGTTTAAGTTTATAGATTCCAAACATGATGCAAATTTTATACTTTATTTGTTAAATGTAAGAAGCTTTAACCTTAGAAAAAGTCTGGATAGTTTCCGTCAATCCGTCATCATATGCATAAATAAATAGCATAATACGGAGTAAAATGCATTATATTACCCGCTTTGTTAACCAATATAATTCAAAATCCACTTCAATGAATGATGTTCCATATTTAATAAGAGTAATTGGGTATTAAATGAAATCAACTAATGGAAGAATCATTAGTGATCAATTTTGGAAGACCCATTAGTGATCAAAGTGAAGTATAAGGGTTTATAGATAGGTTGCAACATTTACAACCTTTTTATATCGTTTTCTTAAGATATCATCGATTAATAGTCTACATACATTCCACAAAAGTGTTAGCAGTTCAAATATATTGGAGTCTTTATACTCTGCCTGAGTCTAAAAACATATCGATATGGAGACTTATTAGGTGTCCCTAATATGGATTTTGAGAGATTCCTATGAAATTTAGAAAACCATCATCAGAATTCAAGTGTTCTAAATATAGGTTTTAATGAATTCTATCAATATATTGGTGTCTCGACATTCTATGGATTTCATTAATTAATTAATTAACTTATATCACTGATTGCCCCTTTTCTCTTCTCATCCCACAATTGTATTCACACAAGAAATCACCGATAGCAAACGTATTATGGCTTCACCACCCCATTAAATTATACGTATCATGGATTTTTAAACACTCGAGAAAAAGTATTATGGCTTACACAATTAAATCCACTATGGATATTTTGGACCTGGATATTATGGCTTACCCAAACTCGCTAAACCCCATAAAATCTAGGAATAATTTGAGTTTGCACCACATATTATTGTCTAAATTGGACTCTGCATCCTTTTATAAAAATCATTGTTTTTTCACCTCAACCCCATATGAAAAGACTAAAATTTTTGTCTTTTCATATGAGGATGTGGTGCAAAAACAAAGATTTTTAAAAACGGGGTGCAAAGTCCAATTTAGACAATAATACGAGGTGCAAACTTCAATCACCCCTAAATCTATGATACAGAATTGCATATTTTTTTTGAAAGATATAGCCATATTTAAAGCTCAGTAATGTCAAAAAATGATGTTAATTAATTACCCATATTTAGGAAATAAAAATATAGTAATATTATTTTGGAATAACGAAATTCATACTAATAATATGTACTTTTAGTGATTCTACATTAATAATCTCTACTGAAATGTTGATACAAATAATTCAAACTAATAAACACGTCATAGATAGATTAAATTAAATAGAGATAATGGTTCTATTTCACATTGCTTCATCTCCATGTCATCCGCATTTAGTGTACTATAATTCTCATCATCTTCCTTTCCTCTTCCTTCCCAATTAAGTACTCTTATTCAATCTCCCTCTTTAAATTGATTTTTCTTATCTCAAAATGAAAATATTTGTTTTTTTTCTTTCCACTCCCATCCTGAAATACCTCAAATCGAGAACATTGTCGTCACATCTTAATGCTATGACAATCACCGCACTTCATTGGATATTCAAGTACTAACCATTTGAGTTAATTTTTTTGGATAAATGATTGTAATTATTAATTAGTATTTAGGGTTAAATGGATTTCATTTGAGAAACATCAATTATGTTTTATCGACATACAGGGCCGTCATTTAGGAGGTGCAATAGGTGCTTGGCACCGGGACCCACTCATGTATGGGGCCTTCAAAAATTTAGAAAATGTAATATTAGTTTTAAGTTTATTTTTATAGATGTTATTTATTATTCAAGATTCCAAAAGCTATATAATTTTTAGATTCTCTAATTTGTGCACTTTAAACATCATAAAACTTATATTTCATCGAACTGTCTAGTCTACATGTATTTTATTGTTCAAATTTGTAATTTTGTTGTTTTAGGGGGCCTCAATTTTCCATTTGGAACCGGGGCCTCCAAATTCATTAGATATGATCTTAGTAAAGTTGCTTTTAAGAAAGTTGACACAATAGGTAGTTAATTCTTAAAGGTGTTGCAGATACTTAAAATTATCTTTCTGATGTTTAATATTGATGGATCACCGACCTAGGGGTAGTCGGAATCCGAAAATATGAAAGGGAGAAGCTGATCGAAAAATATCAGGCGTAAAGTACTTTGTGAAAATGAATCTCGATTAATGATGCCAAATGAAGCTTAGGGTTACAAGATAGACATTAGAGTCTATTTATAGGAGAAAAATAAACTAACTTAAAGAATAGTGAGCTAGTCCCAATACAAAACATACAAACGGAACCCTTGGGCGCATAACGTGCCGTTGGGCCGATACAAAGTGTGGATTAGGCCCAGTACAAGAGATGATGTTACTGATGTTGCACGTGTGTCCTTAGCGTATTTCTTGTCCATAGTCGTACTCATAGCCCGAGCACACCGAGGTCAGTATCTGCGAGGTCAGTATCCGTGAGGTCAGTATCTGTGAGGCTACTGCTTGAGGCCTCGGGCTCAACACTTGGGGAGATGTCTTATGTCTTCAGTTTTTGCTTAAGTCCATGATGCTTTGTTCAGGCCCTGAGCATACTGAGGTCAGTCATCAAGGACACGGGCTCAATACTTGAGGAGATGTCGTCGAGGCCAGTTCTTTAGGGCTCAGGCTCATTGTTGAAGAATACGTCTTTTGAATTCGTTGACTACTTTGTTTGACTCCGGTTGTCTTCGCGTTGACCCCTGGGGTCAGATTTGGTGCCGAGCTCGGTGCCTTCGAGGTCGGGCTCATAACTTGTGGAGTTTGGTTGATTCCTGGGCTTGACATTTTCCCGACCTCGGGGGGTCGAGTTCGGACTCGGTTGGCCTCATAATTTGCTAAGTCTGATTGATTCCTGAGCTTGGTGTTTCCCGACCTCGGGGGGTCGGGGTCGGTTGACTTTTAGCCCTTAGCGGATTCATTGAATGGCGCTTTGTTCTGAGCTTGGTCTTTTTCCGACCTCGGAGGATCGAGGTCGGGGCTCGGCTGTACCTTGGTCCTTTGTTGATTTGTTGCCTGGCACTTTGTCCTGACCTTGGTGGGTCAGGGTCGAGGTCGGTCCCCGTTGTGGACTTAGTATTTTCATGTACTTTGGAGTGGATCCGCGATGCTTATGACGGTGATTATGATACTCTTGTGGTATATGGGAATATACTCCATCAAATATATAAGCATATTATCGTGACTTTGCTCACTCTTGTCATATATTTGAGTTTAATGTTTCTTTATATATATATCATTAATATAACATAACCATTTTGTTAAAGAATATATAAAACAAGGCAAATTGACTTTTACTCATAGGAGATTTAATCTATCCGTGCAGGCATGTTTACGAGTGGATTATTTTCATCAACTTTTTCATTAGTAATTACTATATTAGAATTGGTAAAAGTACAAATTGTTGGTACGAGTTTTGCATTCTGGAATTAAAAACATTTTTACTCTTATTTAGAATAATTTCTCAAAGGTATATTAGCCTCACCATTTATTTTTAATTGTAATAATTTTAGAAGTCATCCATAAAGAAATGATTATGATTTTAGTCATGCTCGATCAATTAAATTTCCCAAAAGAAAATTTATTTGTGAAAATCAAAGATTTCAAAGAACTAATATTCCGATATATAAATTTAAAATTTGGAAATGTTTTATAAAATAAAATTGTTAGTAAATTTTATAGTCTGACAAAAAAGAGAAAACTTTCACACTGGTGAATGACTGATACGGAGTAGTGTTTGGAAATGGAGTAGATCCAAAATTAGGTAATTAATTTGAAGGTTTAAAATTGGATACAGGCAACAATGTGAGAGTTATGTCAAATTTAAAGGAACTATTTTAATGTTTTTTATTAGATTGTAATTTTCTGAATGGTCTGATCTAGTCTAGTATACTTCAATATGATATGATGTAATTTGGTTTGAACTACTCTCATGAATGATTGTTCTATGAGTACTTTACAACAATCGATGTCTGATATGCTCTCTTGATTGATTGCTCTATTAGTACTTCACCAGAATCACAACAATCGTGATTTGATATCATCTGGTCTGAAACTGAAACTACCCCGCTTAAGAGTTTATAATGAACTTAACTTATGGGATCAATTAAAGATGTTTTTATTTGGTTTGAAATTTTCTGATCTGATCTGATCTGGTATGAACTGGTTGGTCTCTGTGTATCTTAGAAATCTAGTCTGATCTGGGACTAAAAACGATCAAGTAAAAACATTCAAATCCTAATTACACGTATTAGGAGGTACGGAGATTTTAATGGAAACTGGACCGGGAGGTTCAAGCACGATTCTAGGTGCGTTTGTAGGCCCGAATTCACAGTAAATGCATGCAGGTCATAACTCATAAGATTAATATTGGGCTGGGTTTTGGGCCCTAACTTGTTTATATGATCAGCGAAATTGTGAAGTTTCACTTTCAGGCGGGCCACAGCCACCGGCCATATCGGCTACCGGCTTCCATAGTTCAATCGCAGCGACGCCGGTAAATCAAGAATTAACTTGAAATTATTCACCTGGAAATTGTTCACTTTTATTCCGTATGATACAAGTCCAATCCGGTCGAAAAGGGTAATATGAATCGGGAAAATCCGCAAACTATCGTAGTCACAGCCCACTCCGTCCAATAAGGCTTCTGACGTTCACTTTGCCGGTCAGATGTACGACAAACACCCCCTGAACCTCTTACCCCATTCTCTCCTCTCTTCTCCCTGCGCTTTTCCTCTTCATCTAGGGTGCAAATTACAAATTCTCCGTCCTTCGAAACCCAATCACCATCGCCGGAAACGGGCTATATGGAGAGCCCCGCCGCGCAGAAAAAGCCCCGGACGAACGCAGGTGGCCGAGAAGATTGCTGGAGCGAAGGAGCAACGGAGACTCTGGTCGAGGCGTGGGGCGATCGTTATATCAAGCTGAACAGAGGTAACCTTCGTCAGAACGACTGGAAGGAGGTCGCTGACGCCGTTAATGCTCGCCAGGATGGCGTTAAGCCCCAGCGGAGTGATATTCAGTGCAAGAACCGCGTTGATACACTGAAGAAGAAGTACAAGCTCGAGAAATCCAAATCATCGCCTTCTACATGGTCGCTTTACGACCGTCTGGATTACCTCATCGGCACTAGCGGTTCTGTACAGCCTTCTTCTTTTAACAGAAAATCTGCCGCCACCATGAGCAAATTTAAGCCTGAACCGTGCCTAAACCCGAACCCTAGATCCTTAGTTTATTCCGGTGGTTCATCGAAGCTCAATTCCAGTGGCTCCAATAACAGCTCGCCTGGGGGCGATGGAGGCGACGGTTACATGCTCCTTGCTGGTACTGGGAGGAAGCGTAAACATGATTATGCGGATCTGTCAGAAGAAACTTCGGCATACAGGGAATTGGCTCGGGCAATATTGAATTTTGGGGAGATGTATGAGAGGATTGAGAGCTCGAAGCAGCAACAGATTATGGAATTAGAGAAGCAGAGGATGAAGTTATCCCAAGAACTTGAGGTCCAGAGGATGCATATGTTTATGGAAGCTCAGCTGCAGCTCGCTAAATCAAAACGACCTTCTAAGCATTCTCCTGCAGGTGAAGTGGATTCTGACCTTCCTTTTTCTATTAAAAGAATATAATGTCAACACATCTGTCAATAGATATTATTTTTTCTAACATACTCTGTAGTTAGGATTTAGAGATTTTTTTTCAAAAATATTACTAAAATAAAAATTATTTACAAAAATATGACTATAGTTACTATGAATATAATGTCATGATCACGTAAGTGTAAACATTGAACCTAAGTTACTATGATTAAAGTTACTATTATAGTCATTAGATTCACTATACATAAGAGGTCAAATATTTGTAATTCATTTATAAAAATATGACTATAGTTACTATGAGTATAATGTCATGGTCATGTAAGTGTAAAAGTTGAATTACAAGTTACTATGATTAAAGTTACTATTATAGTCACTAGACTCACCATACTATTACAGTCAACTTTGCCCTAAAGTCCTAGACATTAAATCTTAGAGATAAGAAACATACAACATTTAAACAGCGTCCTAAATATGTAATTATTTCTTATTTCTAAGATTTAATGTTTAGGGCTTTAGGGTAAAAGTGACTGGGAACTGTCTAATATAGATATTGTTAACATAGTGGGAAAATGTTTTGTTGCATGCATGCTTTTTACGGATTCTACCATCATCTAACAAAGTAATGACATTTTTATGATGAATGATCCTTCATCTTATAAATGGCTTAACTGCATAGCAATTGTTGCATGACATAGTTCCTATCGTGGGATGCACGCTTTTTGGTTAGTTGTCATTCTTGAAGCTGAGATGATGGAAAACTAGAATCAAGTATCCACTGGTTAACGAGAGGGTGGGGTGTGGACATGTGTTGTATTGGATTCTTGGCTTTATGCTTGAATGTAGCATCACATAGCTGTCTTCAAACAATTAGTTCCAACTCCTCATAGTTTTCTTCAAACAATTAGTTCCAACTCCTCATAGTTTTCTTCAAACAATTAGTTCCAACTCCTCATAGTTTTCTTCAAACAATTAGTTCCAACTCCTCATAGTTTTCTTCAAACAATTAGTTCCAACTCCTTTTTAATACTAGTTCATTGCACCTAATTTCCAACTGCATCATATCATTTGTAACAAAGAGAACCAACATTCATATCCATAACATAAAACGTTTGAAGACTTGGTGTGTTAAACACTTAAACATTCCACAAACTAGGTTTGGTTCGTATTCCCAACTTTTATATCCATGGCATAAAACATTTGAAGACTTAGTTTGTTATATATTCCACAGTCTATGAGTCTACTAGGTTTGAGTCTCATCTTCCCGTATGCAAGTGTTAGCCTGTGAGGTAAACCTTCACCCTCTTGAGGTTCTCCAATTAACATAAGTATGTTTTATGATCCAGGTGACATTACTGGATTTTAGTGAAGCAGGTGAAAGTGTGAAACAGAGGTATATAATTTAGGGTATGAGTTATCCTGTTAGGATATTTATGAGATCCCATACTCCCTGTACGGTTTTCTTAAAATCTGCTTGCAGTGTTCAATGTTCACTAATAAAGCCATCCTTTATAGCACAATGATACAGAGTCTAAATAGTTAACAAATTTATGACCATGAAACCAATAAAGAATCCCTACATCAAATGGAGTTCTGGACTAATAAGAAAATACATACTACCTTCATTCTTAAATAAGTTCTGGTTTAATACGGAGTATGTTGTCTATTCCTTGTTCTGATGATTTGATTACGGTGTAATAGTAGTTCAGTGATTACTTACAATTCATTATTGTAGGAGTCCTCGACTTGTCTAACAGTCTACTTAACCACCTTGCCCATCTTATGTGCTTAGACACTAAAGTACTTCACTTTCTCTTGTCTGTCTATGTTGCACAGGCAATAGATTCTTTTTAGGTGACAGCTTCAGTACATATCTCTACTAGCAGTTTTTGTTCCGATTACTCACTCTAATTGAATAAATAGTACTCCCTCTGTCCCCCTATTATTGTCCCAGTTCCTATTCACTTGGTCAACACAATTCACTCTTAATCTCTTACTTTATATCTCAAATTTTTATCAAATTTGATTCTGGTTTTTGCGACTTTGTAAAGCTTTTAATGTAGTTTCTGAATATGTAATTTTTTTCCTAAAAATAAGTTTGGGTACGGGCAGGGATCCTTATAATTTAATTGCATGCAGTTGCTTGTGTGTAGTTTTATTTTAATTTTTGAAAAAGTAACATTAATTTTACTTGTTAATGAGTTTTTTATTTTTGTGGTAACAAATACTGCTCATCAAACATTTCCTAAATGTTATGTTTTGTTGTAAAGCAATATAGTACTCCGTATAAGATAACATTTGGTTTTAGAACACGTACTTAATTGTTTTCTCACCCTTGTATGTCGATTTCATCATTCCATTCGCGTCAGTTGCCATCTGCGAGCGCTGTCCTGCTGCAATACTCCAAAAAAGTTACAAAAATTCGAGCACAAGTGCAAACGATCTATTCAACATGTAAACAACCTTAAATGAGAGCTTCTGGTTTTGATGCCCCCCCGAGTAATACAATCACTGTTGTTCATTCCCCCAAAATGTCGCCTATCTAATAAATGGAGCGAGTTTTATTTGCCAGAGTAATATATCCCTCAATACAGTTCTAATAAATTCCTAATTCTATTGCATCTTTATCTCTCCTGCCAATCAATGAGCTTGTCCCTCTATTGCATTCACAAAACTCTACCCCAGATGTCTAAGTTCATTTCTGCCATTTCAATCACAACAAAATCTGGAATGAGAGATTTGTGCATGTGCATTCCTACTCGCCTCCTCCCTTCACCGACTTTGTTGCCACAGTGAAACTTCCAATTTTTTCGTACTTTCGTAATTAGTAGAATAAATTACTGTAAAGTTTGTGTTTACCCATTCATCTTTTTAACCACAAAACTGACATGAATAATAATATTTCAAACTTACGTTTTAACTTCATTTTATTTTTAAGAAGTATGCAAGATTTTAATTCCAACAAGACAGAGATCTGGAATGATTAGACTATTTAGACATAACTACATAAAAAAAGTATGAAGACTAACATGAAATGTTAAGTGTAGTTACGTGAACTACATTGATTTAAAAGGAGATTGGCTGAGAGTTTAAGAGAGATTAGAAAAATAATGTAAATTGGATGGATGAAAGTAAAAAAAACATTTTGCATTGAATAAATATGGAAAAGCAACATATGGAGAGACATTAAACTTATTATATGCCTAAAAAGGAATTGGACTAGTGGGTATAATAATAGAGATGTTGAGGAATTTTCATGGAAGATAATACATGTCAGCTTGCACAACAAGGCCATGCTACGTAAGAATGTGAAAAGAACGTGCTTCCAATGTTCCTACGAACTCTCAATTGTAAAAAAGAAGGAATTGAACTCATAAGTAATAGGAATTAATTGATAAACTAAAAGAAATATTTGATTCTTGGGAAGCATACCTTTTTTATCCTTTCTCTTTCATGTGAACCAATTAATCAAAACGGTATTGTCAATTAAAACCTATTTGTTTAATGTGCTACGTGGCTACGTGAGAACCCAATCATATTTAGTGCTATATAATATACTAGTATTACCATATGTGACTTGAAGAGTGATAGGTAATGGTTTGAAGGGATGAGTGATAGAATGATAGCCAAAGCCTGGATGTTAATGGCAACGAGGGCTGTTGGGGTGTTATCGAAGGCAGTGATGAGTAGTAGTATTAGTAGTAGTAGCAGCAGTAGTAGTAGTATATGTGTGTGTGTACTGCCGTGGACATGGGGTGAGCACACAGATGGTTGGTTTTGCTAACAGCTCCTAGTTATTAGTGAATCTTTGATTATGAGGTATATTGAGTTTGGAACACAGGCATTGATTAGGAACTGAAGTTGAAACACTGATAGCTAATAAAGAGATTTATATAAAATAGATGCTTGGAACAAAAAAGAAACTACAAAGTGATGTACAATAACATCCAGCAGTTATATTTGTAGCTCCTGCTCAGAAGTTGGACAAACCGACAAACATTGCTCACAATCCGGTTAGCTACTGCCTTGTTCAATTCCTCGGCAGTGTAACTCTGCCACCCACTTCCCTTAACTTCGCTGCTGTACACCTAGGGGTGGTCCCAGTCCGCATCTAGTCTGTTTCCAGGTCACTTATATGTCAAAACCAGAACTATAGATGGACATACTAGATACGGTTACGGTTCTCGTGACGACTTCAGTCCAATTCGTGTACCACAGCCTTAAAAAGCCTAAAAGGTCTGGGCTTATTTCCGCGGAACTGGAACCATTTTGGACCAGTTTCTAGATCAGAAACCTCTCAAGTCACGAGGGAAAAACAACCAGTTCCAGATCGATTCTGGAACCGCGGCTGGGTCCAACACTATGCACACCTCTGTATGTACTTGAATTTGCGGTTTTTCATGCCGCCTTTCTCTTTCTCGGTCCCATCATCGTCGTCATCATCATCGTCATCATCATCCATATCAGTGTCAGAAGAGAGAGAGTTCACACCCTGATGATCAGTATGCAGGTGAAGTAGATGAGTGATGTTGCAGGTGTAGATTGGGGGCTTCCTTGATTGTTGTTCCTCGAAGAAAGGTGGCCAATCACCCTAAACTCCAAAAGTGAGGGCAATAATGGAAGAGGGCAGTGGGGTGATGTGGATGGCAGCCATCAGTAGTTAGTTGCTTATAAGTACTGCTGACAAGGTGTGGGGCTGTGTGGGCCGTGCAGGGTGATTATGCCTAATGGTTGGTTTTGGCACCTGCTCCAGGGTACCACCAACAAATAAATTTGTCTTTTCCCTTCTTAAAAAAAGTGCTCGTCTTTTTTGTAAGAGTTTGAGGTGATAATTTATTCTCTCTTTACTAATAAATATTGATTGTTATGCACAATCTTTGCAGTCCTATTGAAATATTAAAAACTTGTGAGACTCACTACATACAAAACAATTTTTGTTTTGAAAAATTAGATTGTCCGAATTGCTTACAATTTTCATGTGAAAGTATATTTGCTGATTTTTAAGTTAATATTTGGTTGTGTGAAGTATGCTCAGTTTATGTGTGCAAGTAGTAATGTACTTTCTGAAATTGGAATTAGCTATTTCATTTTCTTTCTTTCATGTTGTGTTTTAGTACAGAGGTAAGACTGCGTACATCCGACCCCCCCTTACCCCACCGTAGGTGGGAGCCTTTGCGGCACTGGGGTAAATGAAAATGGTGAAAATGAAATGATTTTCTTTCTTTCATTCTGCGAAAGCTTTTGCAGACTTGGTTGGCCTGATTTGAAGGTTAAGGCCGGGTTAATAACTCTTGAATGTTGAGATCTTTAGTTTAACTCTCGGTTGCACGACAGGTAAATTAGAGTTCAATGCTCTCCCATATAATTGAAAACGACAGATGAGAACTTGTATAAAGTTCTCTGTTTTTGTTAGTTTTCTCCCAATTAGTATGACAAAGGACTTCATTGTAATTTGTTAGGTAACATCTATTATTAGATCAGTTATGTAGGTATTGATTGAACAAATATTTCAGTTCCCTTCGATTTTTGCGTTTTAAAGTATGAAATGTCTTTTGGCCATAAGCAATATGGGCATACTATGATGTTGCATTGATGATGTCACTTGCACACGGATAGACTTGTTGTACAGAATGAACTTGGCTCACGAAGGCTTGAGCAGACCTTGTCTATTAAAAACAAGTTACGCTCGAGCCCCACTACCTGAGCACCTAATCAGGACATGATTATTACTTAATTCGCTCAAGTGTTGCAGCTCGGTGCGGCTGGTTTATGCTGAAGTTCGAGCTAGAAAAAATTCAAGCTCAGTTCTGAGTACAAACCAGGCCCCGCCGAAACAGGTTCAAGTCAAGCTCGAATGTGTGTACTTGGACTGGACTCAAATAACAGCATTACACATAGAATTACAATACCAAGTCTGGAAGTGATATTCATTTACTAGGATGACTAAAATAAGTGTTGCTTTTCAATTTGCATGCACCAAGGATAGTGAAATGAAATTACCTGCAGTGTTGAATGATATTCCTTTATGTGGTACTCTAATATGTGCTCATGGACCCCAGATGTAGACAATATAGCTGAAATTGGCGCATAGTAATTGTTCTCATAATGCGTCCATGGTACTCATTAGAAAAACACGCTGATTTATGCAGATGTTTGATTTATTTCTAAACCTTTTGCTTTCACTAACAGTGATATGTATATATTTCCATCCACAGGAAATGAAGATGTAGGGAAGTGTGCCACTGACTGAAATGATTGAATTTCATATAGTGGTTTGTAAATTATATATTCTTGAAGTCAATAAAAGATCTCAAGTACTTTCAGACTAGTTTAGTGAATTTATTGCAGCCATGTTTAGTATATTTATATGTGATTTGACCAATACTAACAGCAACTTTGTAATCTGTTGGGCAGTAATGACTTGTAAATCTGTACTTGTAAATCTGTAATAATTCTCGGGATATTTATTATGTTATGGTTCGAAAGAAGTGAGAAATAAACTATCTATAAATATTCATTTCCTAGACAGAAAGTTGATTTCAAGTTGGATGTGCAGGAATAGTTTTTTGGCGCAGCTGACAAACGGATTAAAGTGTCTTGCGAACAGTATGTATTAATGTATGCACCCAAACATATATTCTCTCTGGCCCCATATTTGTGGTTCATGCCTTCTTCTTTTACCCTAGGGGTGGGACTTGGGAGGCTGGGTGACTTGGGGTTATGGGGTTGAGACTTGAGAGTGCTTCCGTGAAATTTTGAATATAGGACTAGGGTTGGACTCGGGCCAGGTGGCCCGATCCGGAACCGACCCGGGACCGGTACTGTTCTGGCCCGGCCCGAACCGGTGGCCCGTTCAGTGACCGATCCGGGTAGGCCTGACCCGGTGGGTTTCCGGTCCGGGCTCGGGTCACCCATAACAAGGCCCGGCCGGGCCCGGTTCCGGTTCGGGCCAAATTTATTTTTTTATGGTTTTTTTCATTTGTTTGGGCTCCACCGGGTTGGGCTTGATGTTTAGGAGGAGTTTGAGGGGTTTGGGGGGGTGGGGTGAGGGGGGGGTCAGGGATGGGTAGCTAAGCAAAAAAAAAAAAAATCAAACCCGAGGCCCGGACCGGATCCGGTGGCTACCTGGGCCGGTCCTGGGTCCAGCTATATAGAATCGTCGGCCCGACCGTGCCTAGGCCCAGCCCGGGCCCGACCTGGCCCGAGTCCAATCATATATAGGACATTTGGGAAGGTGGGTGTAGTCCATTGGACCATCCACCCCCAAGTCTCTCCTTTGTGGGAGGTCTTGGGTTCAATTCCCATCAAGGGGAGACGAGGGAGGTCTTGTTTTCAATGATTCTTCCTACCTTCACGGAGTTGCTCAGCGGCTGAGATTCTGAGAAGGGAGAGGATGGTAATGGAGGTAGCGGGTTCGTGTGGTGGGAGGAGGAGCCTGAAAACATCACCTTCTTGCTGGATATGATGGGCCATTTGAGGTGGGTTGGGTATGATGGGTCATTTGAGGTGGTTTGGGGTGGTTTGGGGGTGAGGGGGGAGGGTTGGAGGTTAATTAGGAAAAACCAAAAAAAAAAAAATACAAGAACCGAATTCATCCTTTGGAGCCAGTACTGACGAGGCTGACTGTGATCAGATCCGGATTTAACTGTCTAGGGACTTTGGAGGGTAGTTCATAGACTCCAGGATTATGGGAGCGTAAGCGCCGGCACCTGGATTATAAAAAAAAATGAATATAGGACGTTTCTTATGAGAGTGAGCTGATAAGTGATAACCATTGATCTAAATCGTTTTCTCCATACCTTATACTCCGTATTATGTTCTCTTTCTCGATTTCTTATGTTCTCTGTCTCGATTTGAGGATCCACCCTTTAAAAAAATAGAATCAGATTATGTTTTTAAAAGTTAGTCTATTTCGATTTTTAAAAATATGCTTTTAAGAGTCATTTAGAGAGCCGTTAAAAGTATTTATGTATTTTCACTCAAAAACTCTACTTTCCGTGTTCGTTTTTTGAAATAGTAGAACTAGTTTTATAGCCCGTTTGGTGACTAGTTTTTCGATTTATTAGGCTTATCAATCAACTTTTTTATTGAACACGTAACTTTTGATTTCGCGTGCTGAATTATATAATAATAAGACAAAATAAGATTGAGGTTATTTTTCTGACTACATTGGTTAAAGTTACTGTAAAAGATCATTTTAACTATTTTTCATATAAATTTTTTTATTTTATAAATAAAATATATTTTAAATATAATTTTTTTCCCATAAATCAGCAGAATTGACCAATCCAACCACTTCAACAAGAACTTCATAAACTTCAACATAATTAACAAATGCAATTGATTTCAATATTACCAAACGGACTCTTAAGAAGTAGGTTTATATACCTACATAGTATAATGAGATCGTGGATAATAATTGTGATGTTATATACTTCGCATGTATTATTTTTTAAATATTTTTTTGAAAGATGTATTATTTTAAATACTTAATAATTAAGTTATCATAGAAAAGTGCTAATTACTTTCTAAAATGCAAAGGAAAACATTCAATTTGGACATCCATAAAATGTAGAGTAAATGAGAACCTTAAATAGGGATGGAGGGACTAGGGAGGACTACGACATACTCCACATCAATCTCTGATTATCTGCACATTCGAGGTTTGGTCACTATTATTCTGGTCAATTCTTATATTTATTGGATAAACGATCTCAAATTTTCAATTAGGCGTTTATACCAATGAACTTCTTACTTAAGTACATGCATTATGGTTATTACTATCTCTCTTCCTATTATAACTTCTAAATAGGTTTGACACACAATTTAAGATAGTGAGTATTGTGTGGTGGAGAGTTGTGCAGAAGAGAGAGAAATTTTATGAACCACAAATTCTTTACCAAAAAGGGAAAGTGGAAGTTTTGATCGGAACGAACGAAAAAAGAAAGTTCGAAGTTATAATAGGAACGAAGAGAGTAGTGTTTTTAGTTTTCAATTGCTTCTCTTATTTTATTTTACTTTATTTTTATTTTCACCACACCATTTACTACACTACGGATGGACCCGTTCAACAGTCCCAGACCAGTTCGAAACCGGGTCCCAGTATTGTGCAAGACCTGACCGGGTGTGTTTTTCCGATCCCGAGTCGAGACCAGGTACCCGACCGGGTAAAAGTGATACCCGATCTTAGGTTCCAATATGTCAGACCGAACCAGGGGGTTCCGATCCCGAGCCGGCCAAATATTTTTTTCTTGAAATCGGGTGAAAAACTATAACGGGTCCGGTGCTGGGACCCTAATATAACGGGTCCGTACTGCCCAGGTACCCAAAACCGGATGAATACAAGTCAGGCCCGGGCTTTGAAAAAGGGAAGGCCGGGCGGTCTCGGTGTGGGACCGGGACCAAACCGGCCTGAATCCACCCCTATCCTAGACCAGCCATCTACTTCAAATGCATTTTTCAAGTAATAGACGTATTAACAATGATGATTTTATAATAAAATTAATCTTATAACTTCATGAATGCATTAAATTCTAATGGAATATAATGAAAAAATAAAGGGAGCAAATGAATAATGGACATTATGATTTAATTGAAATGCTTAGAGCAAATGAAAAATACGTATTCTTATTTACTTCTTTACTTAGAGCCGTCAAGATGGGTTGAAACCTGCGGGCTGATCCGTTTCAACCCATTATCATTTTTAATCGAATTAACTCGCGGATTTCGCGGGCTAACCCATCCAGGTTGTGGGTTAAGTGAGTTGGCCCACACGAGTTGCAGGTTGGCCCGCGGGCCAAAACAAATGTGTATAGTTTTGACTTTCATAAACTTAAATATTGTTCTTCTACAACCAAAATTATTATAATTACAATTATATACTTACCATTTTGCAACTATAGCAAAATATTTATTATTTCTACAATAATTATTCAAATAAATTGTTTAAACACCTATTTCATGAAAAATTGAATATACTACGTAATTTTTAGCAATTAATAGTCATAGTTTACAAACAATCACTCAAAAGTTTTAAGTATATCTTTATTTTTATTCAATATTTTTGTTAGGTATCGTCCCATAGTTTTTTAATTCTAGTATAATTAGTACGAAGTATTTAATATTCTTTAATTAATCTTAACCACAACTAACAAGTATTGAGTAGTGTTTAGTATTTTAAATCCTTATATTTCCTTTATTACTACGTACCAGTATAAATATACTCGTATAAATTAGGGTAATGGTTTTTAAATAATTTTATAATGTATATAATTGGAGCACGGCCTGGCCCGTTAGACCCACGAGTTATGATGGTTGGGTTAAGGTTGTAGAAATTCTGGTCTGTCATTAAATAGGTTGGCCCGACCCAACCCACGTAAAGTTTAACCCATTACGGTTGGGCTAGGTTGGTCCGTATTTATATACAATTACATACGAGCATATTACATACATGTATATACACACACTTACACACTTTAAATTTACTTTGTTGTCAAAAAATTTTTTTGTTCATTTGAACAAAAAAAAAAAAAGGAACTCAAAAAGGTAATCGCCACGTTCTCAAATTGGATACTTTTATTAATTGAAGTTGTTTCGCCTTTCTAGGGGAAAGGGAGAGGCATTAATGGGCATCAATGGCCATAAAAATTAAAAAAAAAAGTTCTAAAATTAAAAGTACTAAGACCATGGCAATAATTAGGAAAAGTGTCATTTTCTATGGACGTATTGTCGTTTGATGAATGATGCTGTTCATAAATATATATATATATATATATATATATATATATATATATATATGTAATCTGGATATACATGTATTGACATGTATATGCACATACACGCACATATATGTGCCAAAGGAGTCACATGTACGGAGCCTTGGTCCACTATATTAACCCATAGAATAATTGTTTCCGGATGATCTATAAATTGATTAAAATGTCCGATTTATGAGCCCTAATACATTGCTATCTTAGAGCCCGTTTGGCGATCCTTTTTTCGATTTATCAGACTTATCAGCCAACTTTTTTACTAAACACGTAATTTTTGATTTCGCGCGCTTAAGTTTGTAATAAGCAGAAAAAGTAAGGTTGGAGTTTTGGTTGAATTTTTTGTTTAATTTATTGATAATAAATATTTTAATTTTTTTTCATGAATCAGTAGAATCAGTCAATACAGCTACATCATCCGGAACTTCATAAATTTCAATAAAATCAGTCAATTCAGCCAATTTTAGTGTTACTAAATGGGCCGTTAGTATCATTGTCAATGTTAAGAATTTATAATGAAAAATACGGAGTATGCTGACAAAAGGATACAAGTGCATACAAAAAGTTCTTTAATTAATCCGAATGTGCTTGTGCATCCGAAACAAAAAATGTAACATAATAACAAGCATGATAACCATTTTGTGAACATGATCGTACGTATACGCAAATACGACATGCTTATAGCTCAAGATATTGCTTTATTTCAAATTTTAGAATTTTATCACCTGCACTATTAATTAATAGGACTAAATAGATAATGTCAGTGTCATTAAAAGTAGAATGCATTTAAACCACTCGTTCTTAGTGTTAATGCACCGATTGGTGACAGTTCGAAAAGATTTGCATGTGTTTTGTAGTTTTATGCACATCGAAATCACTACTTTTAAGTGGAGTCAGCAGTTGAGCACCCGTCACAAGTATTAATACCTCCGTCACATGGGCGATTTTTGTGATTACTATTGGAATTGATTCTAGGGTCACAAAAATATTATGATGCTACCTCCCTTCTCAAAAGAGCTTGAGTTGTCAACTCGCACGGGTAGCTCAGTTGGTTGAGTGACGGAAATCTGGATCGAGGAACCCTAGTTCGAATCCCTGCAGCGATCGTGAGGCACAACCTCTGAAATGAGCTGGACCTCTGACGCGCAAGGGGCATATGGACTTACTGCTGCTCCGTCGATTGAATCACCGTGATTTACATCTTCACACGTGTCCTGTCGGGTCGGGAGGTGGGGAGCTCCGGGGGTGGGAGTAGGAGATTCCACCTTATTGGATCAAAGAGTTTGAGTTCTCATTTCTATAAAAGCAAATCACTTTTATCTGAAGAGTCACAACTATTTTTATTTTGTACTTACTTTTTGTTTGATTTAATATGAAGTAAGAGTAAATTTGAAAAGTCAAAACAAAACATTATGTTACTCCTTCCGTTCCTATTATAACTTCCAACTTTTTTTTCGTCCGTACCAATTAAAACTTCCACTTTCCCTTTTTGGGTAAAGAATTTGTGGTTCACAACATTTCTTACATATTTCTTTCTCCTCTACACAACTCTCCATCACACAATACCCACTATCTTAAATTGTGTGTCAAACCTATTTGGAAGTTATAATAGGAACAGAGGTAGTATATAAATATGAGTAGGTCAAACTATTGGTGGACTCGGGCCGGGCCAACCGGCCCGGAACCGGACCGGCCCGCTACTGTGCGGGCCCGGACCGGCCCGCTACTGTGCGGGCCCGGACCGGCCCGGTTTGTTGGTTAGGTCACGGTTCGGGCCACCCGGCCCGGTCATGTAGCGGTTCGGGCCCGGGCTTATAATTTGGTGAACCGGCCCAGCCGGGCCGGGCCCGGTCCGGGCCTCAACGGTCACAAAAAAAAAAAAAAAATTAAAAAATTTGAAGGCTCTACTAGCCGTTGGGAGACCTCCCAAACGGCTCTATAGCCGTTGGGAGCATAGGAGGGGGGGGTCTGGGGGGTTAGGGGGGTGGGGTGGGGTGGGGTATACAAAAAAAAACCTATTTATACTCCTATTTTCTATACATTTTTTACACCTACAACTCTTTCTACTCTCTAAAATCTAAATTCTCTATTCTCTTAATCTCTCATATTCAATCATCTTCATTCTTCATCTTCTCCAAATTCTTTCTACATATATATAATTTATATAATTATTATATCTACTTATATATTATAATATTAATTATCTACTTATAAATATATACTTATACACATTCATATTATAATTCTTTACGCATTATATTATATACTATATATTGTTATACATATATTATATATTACTTATAATATATTTACACATTATATATTTATATATACTATATATAGTTATACATTATATTATATATTAATTAGAATATAGTTATACATTATATTATATATTACTTATAATATATTTACACATTATATATTTATATATACTATATATAGTTATACATTTGATTTATATATACACTTCTCGTTTATCTATTTAATTACTTAATTGTTTCATTTGTCATATTAATATTAGTTAAAGTAGTTAAAGTTAATTGTTTCATTTGTCATATTAATATTAGTTAAACTACTTAATTGTTACATTTCTCATATTAGTTAATTAGTTAATTGCTACAATTTTACATTTCTCATATTAGTTAATTGCTACAATTTTACATTTCTCATATTAGTTAATTAGTTAATTGCTACAATTTTACATTTCTCATATTAGTTAATTGCTACAATTTTACATTTCTCATATTAGTTAATTAGTTAATTGCTACAATTTTACATTTCTCATATTAGTTAATTGCTACAATTTTACATTTCTCATATTAGTTAATTAGTTAATTGCTACAATTTTACATTTCTCATATTAGTTAATTGCTACATATCTCATTAAAGTAAAAAAAACTAGTTAATTTTTACATTTCTCATATTAGTTAATTGCTACATATCTCATTAAAATAACAAAACTAGTTAATTTTTACATTTCTCATATTAGTTAAGTGCTAATATTTGTTCAATTTTAAATATGGAGCGAGGTAGACATTCTGTAGATGTGGGTAATCTCCAACGCAACCGCAAGAGGGAGATTGCATCGACTCGATCTACTTCACGCAAAGGCAAAGGTAAAGCGCGGGCCGAGTCTTCTTTTCAAAGTCGAGATGATTTTGAAACGGATTACCAACGGCGAGATGGTATGATGATGTCCGACGAGGAACTACAACACCTATTGTCCCAAAATGATCCACGTTTTGCACAAGAACAACAATTCCCGACAACCATCGATGAAGAGGAGCTCGAGGATGACGATGGGGAGGAGGACTCGGGGGGCGACGGGACTCCGGATGATGAGGAAGAGGACGAGGGCCCTTCAACGACTACAACCAAAATTGGTAAGAAATCTAAATCTGCTATTATTGAAAACAATTTTACAAAAAGGAAAGACGAAAAAACCGAAAAATGGTACACAAGTTGCAATCATTGCAAGAAAGAGTTTAGCTTGGGAATTTCTGGCGGATACGGGAGTCTCAAAAGGCATCTTCAGTCCACCCACGTTGTGGAGTATGCGACAAATTTAGAGTCAAAAGGCATCTTCAGTCCACCCATGGAACTTCATTCGGAGATGGAGATTATAAGACAAATTTAATGAGAAGAGTAAAAGGGAAAGATGAGACAAAAGATAATGAGACCGGTTATTACTATATACTCTAGAGTCTAGAGGTTACAAATTGAAATCAAGAATTGAAGATAGCGTCATCTTCTCAAAGTGACAAGAAAAGTCTGGCCTCTTTTACACTTTTTTAATGAGATCTATTCCGCACTTGACAGTTTTTTTGCCAAAATGAAAATTTACCTCGGAAGTTATAGTTGAACCAAGTACGTAAAGACGTAAAGTACTTGAAGATTTCCTCACCACAAGAAAAGTTATATCGAACAACTAAACACTACGGAGTACATCTGCCTCCCTAAGAGTGGTCAAGAGGGGATAATACCATTTCCATTGAAACAAACAGAGATAAATAGAAAAAGAAAAATGGGTCGATCAAAGAGTAGTTAGGTTTTTAGTGTATTTTGACACAAGTAGTATAAATTACACATGCTAAACGTGTACATCCCACTGAGATTTGTTCAATATCAAATTTAATAATGTTTGCATTAATCTAAATTTTGCATTTTAACATAAATTATTAGAAGAGATAATACAATCCCATTGATCAAACAAGGTTAACATATTAGGGAGTACGACGTAATACTCCCTCGGTCCCTCCGTATTTAAAAGATTACTACAGTCTTGATAAACTATTTAAGAGGGAAATAATAGGGATAATGAATAATGTTGGAAAAGTAGAAGAAAAATAAAAAAGTAGATAAAAAGAAGATAAAAGTAGAAAAAGTAAGAGTAATTAAATATTTTTGAAGAAAAAAAACTTACCAAACTGAAAAAGTGTAACAAATTTGTAAATACATCCCAAATAAAAAAAATATACTCCGTACATACTAAACTTTTAAATAATATCGAGTAGAATTTTATGGATCTGACGATTAAATGACGCAGAGTAGCATATGTGTGATCTCAGTAGACGGTGAATCACCGATTCGGACCAAAGAAATCCCCAAAGACTAACCATTTCAACAACCAAACACGTTTCTCTTAAATCTTAATGACATGTAAATCAAGAAAGGTGAATCTGACTTTTGCAGTACATAGTACATACTCTGTTTGATTGTGTAATAGGAAGAAGACATCTCATCCTGACACCCCCTCTGTGTATATACACCCACACGCCGAAGGAACGATATGATTCCGGAAATAGTACTTTACACATGATGATAAGGACAATCTCAGCCATTCACTGATTCAAACGTTTTTTTACCAAGAAACTACTCTCAATGAAACAGGCATAGCAAAATACTGAAGATAGCAAATCATTCTTCTTCAATCAATACATGAAGCTATGAACAATCAATACCTGAAGCTATGAACAATCGGGAGAGCACGAAAACCCGAAAAACATGAGAGTTACCGAAAACGTAAATGTTTGAAGAGTTTTCAAAGTGTTTTCGTAGAATTTCTGAAACCGAAACATAACACCAGTGTTTTAGTGGTTTCCGTGCTTAATTGTGGCTTCAAATTTCACCACAGCTTACGTTCCTTGACTCCAATCCACATAATCAATTAATTACACATATTTATATTATAACAAGGCTAATTATGAGCGTACCACTGAAGTTCCGAAGCCATTCTGGCCCTGGTCTCCCATCGTAATTATTTCTCCGATCGATCTAATAATTAACAGCATAATTACGAAGCGATTAGTCAAGGCCAATGGAATGGATAATGGCCGAATTGCGGATTATTGAGAGATCCACCGGTGTGACTGTGATCAACGGCGATAGAGCTCTGCTCGCAGAATCCACCGGACGGAGAGAATTCATCCGCGAAGGAGACCGGGAAATCGGCGATGGCGGCGTGAGGGAGGCAGTTGAAGAAGGAAGAAGAGGAGCAGCAATTAGCGTCGGCGGCGGGGGGCTTGGAGGCGTAGGAGGCGAGGCGGGCCCTAGCGAGGAGGAGGTCAGACTGGAGCTGGGCCATACGGCGCTGGAGGGAGGCGATGGCGCCAATGCAGCCGTAGACGGGGTCGGTGAGGCGGACCTCGGCCTCGTAGACGAGGGAATTGACGGTGTCCTCTCGCTGCTCCTCCGGGACCTCGTTGAGGATTTTGGCGACGTTGCTGGCGCCGAAGACCTTGTGGACCTTGGCGAATTTCATCGGGTCGTCGGAGCGGAAGTAGGGGGCGAACTGGCAGTTGAGGACGCACTTCCGCTTCAGCAACTTGCAGGCGGCGCATGAAGAGCTTGAACGGCCGCCTCCCTGATGATGATGGTGATGATGATGACTATTGTTGTTATTCTTCCTCATGCCTCTAAATAATTACAGTTACAATAATAACAAATTAATTATGAATCGTAGCTAATTAATTTAGCAGACCGCTTTGCTTTGCCTCACTGCTTCGACTACGTACCTATATGCTATATACTCGCTCCCCTTTTCTTTTCAACATCTCAATTATTATATATACTTGTTATTGGGAGTACAATACATGCCACGTTTGTCTGTTCCCTTTTGTTAAGTTTCTGTTCAAGTTTTCTCCAAATGTAAAGTAAATAAATGAAACAATTGACTAGTTTCAGTTTCAATTAGTCAATTCAACTCAGTTGTTTATTGGAAAAATAGTAAAACTGTCTTAAATAAGTTTTCTTCAGTTTGGTACAGTTGGTTTGATTTAACTGTGGTGGATTTTAGCTTAATAGAATAGAAAGTGCTGGTTCTGTCTGATGATGTGTGATTCATTTAGCAGCCGGACTTTTGCTTAGGACGACTCGGACACATAACCCCTAAATCCGGCCTTAATATATCCATTTTTAGGCTCTTAAAATTTTTTACTGGTATTTTAATCCGTGTTGTTTCGTGCATCTATTTTACTGCAGTTGGTATACCGTGGGAGCGGTTCACCTTGAGCATCCTGCTCCCAGTTTTTTTTTTATAATTTCAAATTTTCAATAACAGGCTGGTGTAACTCGTGTTTGAAACAATGTAACTCATACTGATAAGAAATGTAACTTAAGTCAAGTTGAAATGTAAGTTGTCTAAAAACAGAATATAAGAAGTAAAACATTGATTTCAATGTAAATAATGAAAAAACGAGTCCAATCACCCAATTATTTTACATAAATAGTGTATATACTTTGTTTTTCATATCAAGACCATTAGAAATGACTTTTAATAAAAAATCATGTTTATTTGAATGACAGAGGTTTAATTTGTGGTGTAACTCACATTGTTTTGTGGTGTAACTTGCATTATGACAAATGTAAATCACGTGTAACTATGATGTAACTTGAGGTAAGTGTCAGTTTGGTCCTAGAAGTTGCATAAAAGGGGTCAAATAAGTCCTTATGACGTCCTTATTGTCCGGCCGTCACCATTTGAGGCAGTTCCCGGTGAAATTTTTTGATGAACTTTTTTGAGAATCTTATTCATTAAGTCTAGTTTACTCATAGCAAATTTTAGCTAAAACTTAAATCGGGAAGGCATTCAAATGAAGTCTTGAAGATAACTGCGCTTTTAACTGCGCAGTTATCTTCAAGACTTCATTTGAATGCCTTCCTGATTGACGTTTTATATAAAATTTTGTATGAGTAAACTAGACTTAATGAATAAGATGCTTAAAACATTTTATCAAAAAATTCCACCGGGAACCACTCCAAATGGCGACGACCGGACATTAAGGACGTTATAAGGACTTATTTGACCTCTTTTATGCAACTTCAAGGATCAAAGTGACCCTTTGTAACTTATAGAGGAAAATTGGAATGGAACTCACGCTAATATATGTGTAACTTGAGATAAATGAAATGTAAATCCCTTTAATAAAAATGTAACTTTTTTAGATTTATAAAAATGTAACTTAGGAGACCACTTAAGCTATAGGGATCGGACACCATCATTGTTTCAGCATTAAGAGCCAGATGTTTATCCTCATCCCCTTGTCAGGCAGCCACATGTGGAGTAATTTGCAGCTACAACACGATGGATGTCACTCGTATGCCTAAAGGTGGCTTGTGGTGGTTATTGCTTGAAGGTTTGTCTTGGCAGATTCACATTGGTTCTCTCTGTGGAGGAGAGGATAAGAGCGGCTCAGATGGAGTCCAATACTCAAATAATATATACACGTGTACATGTATACCATGATCATTCAATATACAAGATACATTCTTCTCTACATGGTATCTAGAGCCATTCTCTAAAGAGCTATTCACATATGATTATTTTTCTCCTGATCCCCATGGCTATCACGGGTGACACCACTGTAGTTACCCTCATTGTCACCTCTCACTTTTCCATTAAACTCACATCTTCCTATTTACTGGTGTTAAAATGCCTAGTCTACTCCGCCCTTATTGGGCTCGGACTTGAAGCCTGTGTTGATGGAGATACCCTTGTCCCTGCAAAATTCCTTGATGATGCAAAACACACTCTAACCCCCGCTACATCACCTGATACCGCCAAGACAAGATGATTTTGAGCGCCCTTCTTGATAGTTGTTCAGAAACAATCCAGCCCATCATCTCATCATCACCGACAACCAAGAAAGCATGGAAGAAACTCTCGTTCACGTTCACCAGTTCTTCTCGTGGGAGAAATATTTCTCTCAAAATGACACCAGTCCGTACCACCAAAGGCTCCCGAGATATCAGACCGAGATGTAAGGTCTTGTGGATGCATTGGCGCTTTCCCAAAACCCTATCTCAGACGAGGATATTGTCATCATCCTCATCAGTCTTGAATCTGAATACAATTAACTCACTTCGGTCATCCGGGTTCATCAAACATCACTGCCACTCACATATTTGCGAGAAATCCTACCGGAGCATGAGACTAAGATCAATGATCTTGCTGCTTCAATTCAATCCTTGGTTCCCACGACCAATGCAACACATCTCAGTTCTCGACAATATCATCCCACTGATCGTCGCTAGAACCCAAGCAATGACCAACGTGGATCACTTTCTCGTCGTAGCAGTTGTGCTTCTTCAAACTTCACCTCCGGTAATCAGTCCAACACGATGGGGTGTGAATGTTGTGATAACCTCGAACATGAAGTACGACAGTGTCGTAAATTGAAGCGGTTCATCAGCCGCGAGACAACCGCGGTTATTTGACAGCGGTGCATCTCATCATGTGACCTCCAACACCACTAATCTTCCCTCCTACGGTGACTATGGCAGCCCGAATGAGGTTCAACTTGGGGATGGTAAGTCTCTCTCTATTACTCACACATGTACCGCCAAACTACATGCCCTCACCAAGCCCTTATCCCTCTCTAACGTCCTGTGTTCCTCAACTTAATAAAAACCTTGTTTCCGTTGCCAACTTTGCAAAACTAGCAATGTCTCAATTAAATTTTTTCCATCTCATTTTCTTGTTAAGGATCGCTTCACGAGGGCACCACTAATGCGACGAGAGAACCATGATGACGTCTACTATGCACCGGTCTCTTTTCCACCTCAAATTCATGCCAGTCAAATAAACACTCAATCTCAGTGGCACCATACACTAAGTCATTTATCAAGTCACATTTTTAATAATCTTATTATTCATAACAGGGGCGGAGCCAGGGCATTGGGCCAGACTGGGCCGGTACAAAGAATATTATTGGGAAAAAATTTACATGAAATTTTTTACACTAAAAATATTGGCATTTTTTAAATTTGGGGTGGGCCATGGTGTAGCACCGTCCCCAAGCATATTTACTTTTAGTAAATTATGTAATAAACCTTTAAAGATGATTTATGAATTTGCGTAATTGTAAATTTTCATTTTTCTTTTACGTGAATAGTAAATTGCATGTGGGGCCCACAGTGGGAACGGGGACCGCCCGATAATTCCCGAACCACATGTTATAATCATCTTGGTCTAGATGACATCTATATGGTGGTGGATATTTTATTTGGGCCATAAGAAGGGCATGGAGTTGACCGGTCAGTCAAACGGGGCCCAATTACCGGTATTGGCAAATTAACGGATAACAGCCCGAAATGAGTTTCGGAGACTCCTAAATTAATTTTGGGGAATGTATATCTATTCTAAAGGCCCATAATTATTGGAAACGCGTGATATATTTTATCCGGTCCGATAAAATGAAATATGACTAAAACAGTCCGAAAAATACAACTTTCGGGGCCGATTATACACATCGGGGCATAAGGGGATGACCTCCCACAGGAGTGGGGGCCACCCCACGACCCAATGTGCTGCAAATGACAAGGAAGCAGCTGGGGGTGTACCTAGTAGGTGGGAAGTCTCCAAGAGACAAAATCCATACCCACCATTACCCTACTCCCTTGTTTTTATGGGTTGACTTAGGTGGATGGTGTTAATCACTCATCCTAGCATCTCCTCACCCATCCACTCGGCCAAGGCAGAGAGAGAAGCTTTAGGGAAGTCTCCTCTCATAGTCCAAGCAGCCAGGAAGAGAATCCAAAGAGAAGAGGGTTGTTTTTGAGGTAAGAACTCAGTAAGCAATCTTTAACTAGTTTTATTATTGTATGATTTTTAAGAAATCATATGGTGGATTAAACCATGAGTTCTACACGTTTAAAAGTGTAGAATACCGATATAAAGTGGTGTTAATTAACTTAGAAGAGTTGGTGAATCGATAGGAGTCGAAATCGCCGGAAACCGCCACTTCAAGGGAGCTAGTCGTAGTTGCAGACCACGAAAGTCGTCCGGCTTTCGTGAAAGCCGCCCGGCTTTGGCCCAGCAGTCCAGTTTTACACCTTCAATCGGCCTAGAACGGGGATTGATCGAGGGGCTTGGCAAAGGCAACTATTTCAGCACTTCATAAGGTGAGGATGGCTGACTATATTGCTTATAATTAGTGAGTTAATTTCATAAGAATGCCCAAAGTAATTAGATGAGATTTTCATGGATTATTAATGACTAATAATGCCTAAATGAAAATAATATGGATATGAGTAAGTGAAGCATGATATACAAATTTAGAATAATTGTGTATGATTATGTGAAATGAATGGAACGGCATGTTAATGGAATTACTATGATGACATTGTGATAAAATATACTTTACTCCATGTATGAAATTCATGAATGGATTAAAGTGATATTTTTGATATTGAGGTCAAACTATACTTGGGTTGAGAAATCAATGGAAATGAAATGCCAATTGGGAAATAGGAACTTGGCATGTTCTAAGATTATCCAATTAGTATCAAAATACTAGTTGGGGAATTAATATAAATAAATGATGAAACAAATCCTAAGAGGTAGGATTGTGAATAGATATGCCTTAAGTAGTCTCAAGAGATACTTAAGGATGAATGGTATGAACACTAAGGTGTGATAGGGGTAGGCCTAAAGGCCACCTACGGGAATTGATTCTAGGCATAGGACTTGCTTGAGAATTTGATTATGAAAATAATTAGAGTCGAACTCTAGGATGACATGGAGATGTAGTTGGGCCGAGCCCATGCCATGTAATATGATTAGCATGGAAACGTAGTTGGGCCGAACCCT